AAACATAGAGGTATGGATATAGGAATAATTAGGAAGGTTTAAAAATGTATTTGAATAACAAATGGTTATTGTTAGTACTGTCAAAAAGGATTGTAACTTACTATTTTTAAAGGTATTTGTAGTTTAAAGTTTTAAAATTTTCAATAAAGGTTTAATTTTTTTTGGGAATAGATGGTACTCCTGGCTTGAGAGTAAACGTAAAACTTAAGGTATAAGATGAAAAAGTATAATATATAGAATGCAAAATTTATAAGAAATATATGATATCGATGTGTGTGTATGTTATTATAATTTAAGTAAGGACATAATTTAGGATAGTGATATAGAGTTAGAATTTTTGTAAATAGGATTGTTACGAAAGATATTGACACCGATATGGAAAAGCTGTTATAGGTGTAAATTTAGGTTTTGTGTTTTAAATGTTGGAAAGTTTAATAACTACCATTTTAAAAAAAGAAAAGAAAATCGAGCTTCAGTATTTATGGAATTTGTAATAATTATGCAATTAAGGATCGTGAGAAGAGTGCGGAGGGGGGGAAAAACAGCCACTACGCTGGAAGACAGAGATAAATGTTAAAAACATCCTCATCGCCTGATGCTTCTCAGACGTCAAACTTCCTACAGAGGCCAGAGAAACGGGCTCCCTGTGAAGGAGAAGGGGGAGAATCATAGAGAGAGTCCTCTGGAAAGCAAGAGTTGATCGTAGCCTGGAAGGCTGGAGACACGTGTCACGGGGGTCGTGGGAAAAACAGGCTAGTAGCCTGGGATTCCCACATCTCAGCAGTCGTTGCCACACCGAGAGATTGCTTCGCTCAGGGACCATCTGTGTCCTCTTTGTCCCCCCCCCCAAAGTGGACACGGAAAAGTGTCCTCCCCCCGCCCCCCCAGTTGCGCTGCTCACAAACGGCGTAGCCCCGCTTTATGTTCAAAGGCTTTCGGCTTTCTCCGTAGGGAGATATCACCAGAGATTCTGCCCGGAGACAGATGACTCAACAGAAGGGAGGCTTCCCATTGGCGCAACTGAATCCTGGCAACCCAACTCCGAAATATCTCTGTCAAGCCCCGCCTCCTGTTTCTTGGGGCGGCGCTTGTGGGAAGCCTCCATTGGCTCCGCCTGTTGTTGCTGCTTGTAGGGACGTTGGCCGGGAGCCCTGGAAGCGAAGGGGGGGAGGGGGAACCACGGTAAGGGTGAGGGAGTGGGAGGGACCATTATTGCTGCTG